AATAAATAAAAAAATATCTTCAACAGTTAAATTTTTAAATTAGCCAAGTATTATGAAAAATTTAAATTAATGTTTAGTAGGTATATACTTAACAAGTATCATAGTATTGGTTACTTACAAGATATTAGTCTTCATCAGCCAAAGCATGTTTATGAACAAATAAACCTATATCATTTTGATGGTACTGTGCATTGCTACTTAAGCATTGAATCTTAAAATGTAAGAAGAATAAAGCATGTGTTTTAGTATATTAAGCTATAATATGATATTATGTAGCATATTTCAAGCATATCATAATATGTACTAATAAATAATAGCATATTATTGCATATTTGCATATAACTAAATAACCAAATAGAAGAAATGCCCAAATCAAAACATACAAATAAACTTAAGAATTAAAAATGTTAAGTTTTAATCATTAACTTTTCCTAACTTAGTACTTACAGGTTGTTGTGTTATTGATTTTTAAATTTATATAAATAATTTTATAAATTTAAATAAAAATTAGAAATACATAAATGTATGAACATTTAGATTATTTCAAAAAATAGTTCAACTTTATTACCACAAGTTCTTACTTCTTTACTAGGTTGGTCTTGATCTGAATCACATTTTGACAAGCTATTCTGTTCATCAGTTTCTTTAACTTTTTTTTGAAAAAAATAAATAAAGGCATTTGACTGTCTTTTCATTTTTATTTAATAATTTAATATGTAATTTAGTAATATATTAAATAATAGAAAACAATAGACACACATCCACAGATCACAGTTAAAGAAAAAATATTATTTTATTATAATATAAATAATAATGGAGATTGGTGTTGCACTGTTGCTCAACGTTTACGGTAATGTAATGTTCCAAAATAGTTAATACCACAGAATAGAATAATATCTAATAATATCATTAGAATAATAATACATTGTTTGTCGACGTCGCACGTCGTCGATAAGCAATTTCCTGGGATTTGGGAAATACCCCAAATTTTATCGAAGTTTTACCTAGCTTAATCGAAAACAAGAATAATCAATTTAGTAATAATATGTCAACCACTTTACTCATTCCATTAATATCAATGATTATTATAATAACTTCTAGATTATATAATTAATAATTGATAAATAACTAGTATTAATATTTGTATAAGACAAATTTCAATGTTTTACTTTTAATACTAATCTAGAGTCATAAATTGTAGATTTATGAGTGTTATATTTTAACTATGAGCTGTACAATTTTCTTGTAAAAAAAAAAAAGGGGTCTAGGGGGGATATATCCCCATATCCCCTCCCCATTATTACGCCACTGTCCATATGGGTATGAATATTATTATGTCAACGTATTACGTAATGTTCTTGAGTATGTTACTACAGAAAAAACAATAAGAAGTTTAACCCTGCATCAGTCGCGTTGTTTAATATCACACAAGTAGTCGCGCGTCTACATTTGTAGAACTATCAAAATTGTTGTCATTAATAATTTGTTATTACAAAATAAATAAATGATTTGACCAAATAATTCAATAATCATATTAAATGTATATTTTTAATCAAATTGTTGTACAATATTAATTAATTTAATATACATATGTCGAAAGTCCTATTACAATTTAAAGGAGTTAAAATATTATGCATGAATGCTTATAATTATTTTGTTAGTCTTTTAATTTTAAGTTTTAATTAGTATCCATTTCATCTGAAGATGTACTGTATTGTTTTTTATTAAAACAACAATCGCATATATATTTGAGGTGATCGTTGCATACCCATTTATAGCAAGTTTCGCATGAATTACGTGTGCTTTTGTTACGTGCTCGTCCACATAGATGACATTTACCAACTCCACCTGGGCGTTTTGTTTTTACATTTTTTTCTGTTTCTGTTTCCTTTTCCAATCCTAATAATTTTAACATAAATAATAACAGCTCTTATTTCTGTTTCATCCGTTTCCTTTGCACCACGTTCACGACTATATTTATTTTGAATTACTTGAATTTTAATGTTTGTACTTTTTGTTATTATTGAAATTACTGAATCGTTAAAGAAAAGAGAAAAATATTCCATATGTGATTTTTTATTTTTAGCGTTTGATTTAGGCCCCTGTAAATGTGTTATTATATTATGAGAACGTGTTCTACTATTTTGTGGAGGAACTTTTTTTTTCCACTTTGTTTAATCTTTCCCGATATAATATTTGTTTTGAACAATTAACCAAATATTATCATCACCAGAAGTGGACTCACCTTCATACTCATCATCAGTATATTCTTGTTCTGTATTCGAATCTTCGCACTGTTCTTCAACATGATCAGTTTCTAATTCTTCATCACTATCTACGCCAACACCTTCAATTAACTTTTCTTCTTCTTCAAGCCATTGCTCAATAACATTATCCATTTTCTAAAGTAAAATTATTTTACAAAATAAATAAAGAAAAAGTATCATGACATAGGTACAAATATTATAAATAATTTATATAGGTACCAAAAACAATAACATATAAGTAGGTTATATTATATATTATATAAATATTATATAATATAAATTATAATGTATAATGTTAATATAAGTTTAAACTATTTCATTTTAATACAAATTACGGGAGTTTAAAATATGAGATGTAGTATAAAAGTTACGTACCTAAGTCGTCGCGTAATCTACAATAGTAGAACATAAAACTTGATTGCTCAATATACGGAACTACACTGAAAGATAAACTCTGAAATCTTTACAATTTTCAATCATATAATGTTGTTAAAAGGTATTTAGTTTATCATTGTCATTGGGTAATTCCAAAACCATCTAAAATTAAATTGATTATCACTGTACTACAATAGTAGAACGCGCGACTGATGCAGGGTTAATAAGTTCAATAAGAGGTTTAAAGTTTTATTATTACTGTTAAACGTTGGGTTTTATTCCTAACATATATTTATTAATAGACCGGCTATCAATCGACCATCTGCCATTAATCATTACGATTACGCTATCGTTTTGATATTATTTGAAATCTTTATTTGTTAGTTTGTTCGTAAAGTTTGTAGTAGTCGGTCGGTCAGTCGGTGACAAACGCATATATTTTGATTTTATTTTCTTGCAGCCGTATTCAGTTTTAATTAAATATTTATTATTCAAGTGTATAATTTTTTTAAAATTCGTATTTTAAAATGAGTAAACCTATGAGTGAAACACAAAAGCGCAAAAAAATAATAGAACAAAAATTAAAAGATGGTAAACTGCCCAAATTAGACGGTTATTTCAACATTTCAACAAATTAGACAGTTATTTCAAAAATAAAAAACTAACCTTCAAAGTATCTACACTATATGCAGATACATCGGTACATGTATATGTCTTGTTTCTACTGAATACAGTTGACATAATATCAACGTTGATTAGGTATTAGATACGAGACGAGGATTTAACTGTAGATAACTTTTTTAACACGTGTAAAAATAAAAAAAGTTTAGTAAATAATATAATTATAATCTATTCCAAATAAGTCTGGAAAAAATCGCGCTTGCAGGTCCGCTGTGATTGGCTACGGATTTGGCATGCGTCGTGATCGGTGGGCGGTCGGAGCTCGCCGCTGTGTATATAGTGTTAAAATAATAATGTTTCAAGCAGCTGCGGATTAAATGTATATAAATTATAATTATAATTATAATTTAAATAAAACAAATAAATAAACAAATAAAAACGCCAAATGCAGGTTAAATTAGTGTATACGCGGAGTACGTTGTCAACTGGTCGTAGGCAAGCGAAGTGGTGATAGTTTAGAAAATACAGTCAGGCAAATGCGGCACAAACAGTCTTTTCGTTGTCACTTTCTATTTTGGATTGAGGCAAATTTCGTATTTAATTATTTCGAATAAATATTTGGCGATAACAAGTCGTGTAGGAGCAACATAATTACAAACATCGTACATCGTACAAACTTGGCAAATACACTCGCCGAGTATACGCTCGTAAAGTACACGAGTCATGTGGACCGGCTTAAGACATATGCATGTCAAAACAATTGAATCTACTTCGGAAAATTCTACTAATAACTACATCTGTTTTTGAAATACTACATGAAGACTCCGAAAAAAATAACGTTACTGATATTTGTCAAAATATTAACAATACTGATGATTGTGATATATTTTTAAGTAAAAATATGAAGATCATTTGCACAAAACAGTATCCTAATGATATAGCTAATTATACACAAAATTCAGTTCTAAGACATCGGAGTGTAGAAGACAAACAATTTATTGTTGAACATGGTCTTTGTAGACCAAGTGGTCCTTTCAGTCGTAACGCGGGTGGACGATGTTTTGACGAATCACTACATTACATCGTATCAAAAGCTGGACTGCGTATTGCATGATCTTGGTTTTGTTATTCACTGGAGCTCCATAAATGTTACTGCCAACCTTGTTGGCTTTTTGGAAACAATAATATTAATTAAGCACCAAGAATGGATACAAGGATTTAACGATTGGGCCCATACATCACGAAGAATTGAAAGACATGAAAAATCTACATCTCATAAAATGGCATGCATGGCTTTTTATTCATTTCAAAATCATAATAAAATCAACGAAAATCAAGAAAAGCAAATCAGAGATGAAGCAAATTATTGGAAACTGGTATTGGATAGAATTATAACTATAACGTTGACACTCGTAACTGAAGATATTCCATTTCGTGGCCACAGAAAAAATAATGAGACAGAAAGCAAAAGTAAACTTTTAGCGATAATCGAATTGTTAGGTAAATACGACCCGGTACTTACAAAATTACTCCAAAGTCCGGCAATTCAGAATGAAATAATTACAGCACTAGGAGATAAAGTTAAATTTTATATTTTACTAGAAATAAGAAAAGCTCCGTTTTTCAGCTATATTTCTGACTCAACACAAGACATATCCAAAATCGATCAATAAAGCCATATATTTCGTTATGTAAATGAGATTTATGATAAAGAAAATAAACCAGTTAGGTTAGTTATACATGAAAGTATCAATGAGTTTGAAATTATGGAGGGCTAAACGAGTAGTGAAATGGAACAGCAACTATACAATAATTTTGAAAAAAATAAAATTGATATTAAAATGTTGAGAGGGATTGGATTTGATGGAGCTGCTAACATGAGTGGTGTTTATAATGGATTACAAGCACGTATCAAACACATTCAGCTACTTGCATTGTACGTACATTGCGCCGCTCACGATTTAAATCTTGTCATTAATGACTAGGTTAAAAATATTAATAAAATTCAAAATTTTTACGAAAAACTTAAATGCCTTTATTCATATTTTGCAAATAATATTAAAAGGTGGCCACACTTAAATCGATGAGTTCTGTGTCTGTTTCACTAAAAAAAAAACTTTGTACTACTCGACGGTCTTCCTGAAATGATTCTTTAAAAGCGCTTAGTTTGCTTTATGTAGATATTTTAAAACTTTTAGCATATATTTCACTTATGGGTAGAAATAAAGATGAAAAAGATAAAGCATCAGGTCTTCAAAACTATTTTCAAAAGTTTAATGTAATTTTAATAATTGTCATCGAAACCAAAATTCTTAACTCATTACAAATTGTATTACTATTGCTACAAAAATCGGGTATAGAATTACTTAAAGCTTTTGAACTGCTGCAAACAGCCTTAAATAAAATAAAAGAAATGCGTGATTAATTTGAAGAAGTGTTCTAGGAAGCTAAACAAATAACAATTTCGTGGGGAGTTGAGCCAACGTTCACTAAAATAAGAAAAAGAAAAAGAACTAAATATTTTGATGAATTAAGTAACCATGAATGTCTCCTTGATACTGAAAAATATTTTAAAACACAAATTTACTATCGTACTCTGGACATAATTATCAAACAACTTGAACACCGTTTTAATGGTATGAACCAAGTAATAAAACGTTTTGCTTTAATAATACCAATTAATATATGTTCAATTAATGAAAATTAACTTAAAAATTTAACTACCTCTTTAATAAACAATTATGAAAATGATTTAACAATAGATTTGGTCCACCAAATTATTCAATTTAAACGTTCGTTTGAAAATCAAATTTTAAAATTAAATTCTGTACACGACTTGGCAAAATTTATAATTATAGACAATTATTTAATAGTTGCAAGTTTTCCAGATTTATGTACAGCTTGTTTTCTTTTTTTGACAATACCATTGATGGTAGCAAGCGCAGAAAGAAGTTTTTCAAAACTTAAAATAATTAAAAACCATCTTCGAAGTACGATGTCTCAAATTCGTTTGTCAAGTTTAGCTATAATATCAATAGAAAAGAAAATTGCAAAAGAAATTAATACGTCAAATATTATTTCTACTTTGGCAAATAAGAAGTCCAAAAATATGTTTAAAGTTTTGAGTTTTATATTTATTTTATTTGTTATTTGTTACAACTGCTATAACTGTTTACTAATTTTTTTGGTATGTACAAATTATACAAAAGTATTAAAATTAACAATAAATATCCATTATTAATTAAATTATTATAAAATGATAAAATGTATATTTAATAAAATAATATGCAAAAATATTTAAAAAAAATTTTTTTAGTAATTTTAATAAGGTGAATACACTCCCTCGGATCTTCTTAATATATATGCCTGGACGATGGGCGGCCCGTTGAAAATTTCGCTCCCGGGCCCAAATTTTAAAGTTACGCCACTAGGTAGGCATTTTATAAATTGTATATCTATCTTAGTTTTTTTTTTTTAAGTAATTGTTTGCCAACAGACGAGTCGAATAACAATTTACATTAAAACCAATTAAAAAAAATTCACAATAATACAATTTAGGACAATTTTGTTCCTCTCCTATTCGTTTATCTTTCTTAATCAATGATTCAATCCATTTTGTTGTGTTAATCTTGTCAATTGGTGGGAAATTAAACTAATTATTTTATTATATATTAAATATAATATTAAATTATTTTACATTATTATTATCTTAGCCTGTAATTGTCGTTAACGATAACCGTTTTCTGGGAAAAAATAACCATTATTTTGCAGATTGCCATAGAAAATAGAAATAAACGAAAACAAAATCCAAATACACCATTCAAAAATAAAAATCCCCAAGAAGGAATCGTTTTTAGCGTTCCTCGCTTAATTAAATGAAGGGGACGCTGAAATCTATGGAAAAATGAAAGCGGACTCCGTCCGCCCGCGTCTCCCCTCCCATAAGTCGAGCACTGTGCGGTAGTGCAATGGGAAACAATAATTAAAACAAATAAATACGGCAATGCAATGTTAAACAATAATATAAATAAATGTAATGGTGCAGTAAAAAAAAATATATATAAACAAATGCGGTAGTGCAATGAATAACAATGATTAAAATTGACAACGTGATGTACACTGCTACACTACGAACGAGAAGAATAATTATTTTAACATGGGCGCTGGGCCTTTTGATTATATAACATATACATTTAAAAAAAAGATAAACATTTCTTAATTATGCAATGTTTATAATACTATTGTGAGCTGTGTGTGTGTATATGTCCGATGTCAGGCAAAGGTGACACGTCTGATTTTACCTATTATCATATTACATCGACGTTCAAAGTAATATATTATATGTAAAAAATAAGATTTAAGCAAAAAAAATTTGCTCAAATGTAGTTTGTTATGTCTATATATTTGTATATAAAATAAATAAGACATGCTAACATTAAAAAAAAGTAGGCAATTGTCATAAGTAGTTATTCATTTTGTTAATAATTGTAACCTTCCGACTTCGTTTTTGACTTTAAAGATTCAACGACAGATTTATCAACGAATTGGATCATTGTAACATATTCAAGATGCACAACATACATTTTTATTTATTCGGGCTGTTCAAGACTGCGTTGAAGCTCATCCTAAATAATGACTACAAAGTTGTGATCTGAGCGGATAAACGACTAGCTGGGACAGACGAACGCAGATTTAATGCTTCAACAACAGATGAAGCTGCAAACTTGATTGTTGGTGAAAACTTGGAAATACTCTATATTATGCTTACACATCGTGATAATGGGCAACTGCAGCAAATATATGAAACTTGCCGTTCAAATATGTTGCAATACCCGCTGATGTTTTGGAAAGGAGATAATAGATATTGCTTCAATATTAAGATGGTAAATCCATTAAATTATGAGTATTAATATCATAGTTTTCATATCAACATAACATAATTTGTTAGAAGGATGCCGTACGTCTCATTTAGCGTAAAAATTGCCATTAAACCTTCAAACTATTGAACAACCGACATGTAACATTACGAAATACTCCACGATGGTCAAAGTTTTAGTTCTGTTTAAAATAATCATATGGGACGAATTCACAACGGCACATAAACGCGCATTGGCACTTGACTAAATATTGAAAAATTTTTGCAATGAATCGGAATGTTTTTTTGAAAACGCAATGATTTTACTGTCTGGCGATTTCTGCCAAACACTGCCAGTCATTTCAAAATCGACTGCTGACGATGAAATAAACACTTGCCTCAAATCATCAATTCTGTGGCGCTATATGAAGAAACTTTAGCTATCAGCAAACATTAAAGTTGCATTTCTGAACGATCTATCTACTCAAAATTTCTCCAAACATTTGCTGACCATCAGTAATGGCCGTGTACATCATGTCGACAAATCGATCGAATTGATTTCATTTTTTCCGAATTTTCGCAATCTGTCTCATCGAAAGGCGAACTCATCATAAAATATTCCCAAACATCATTGCTAACTACAAAAATAACGAATGGTTGAGTGAATGAGCAATTTTAGCGGCTAAGAATAAAGATGTGGATGACTTAAACTTTGTAATTTAGAATCAAATCGTTAGTACTCTGCATTCATTCAAATCTATTGACTGTGTAGGAAACGATAACGAAGCCACCAACTATCCAACTGAATTCTTAACCTTCTTGGATGTGCCTAGCTTACAACCACAAAATTTACAACTAATGCTTGGCTCGGTTGTCATTATGTTTCGAAATTTAAACCAACCAAAACCATAGTTTTCATAAAATGGAACGCTTTTGGTTAGCTTATGATCAATGTAATTCATGCAATAATACTCAAAGGAAAATTCAAAGTTGAGAAAGTTTTCATTCCAAGGATTTCGATAATCTAGACCAATATACCCTTTGAGTTTAAACGAATTTAATTTCTGATTCGTTTTGCATTAACGATGAAAATTAACAAATCGCAAGAATAATTCTTGAGTGTTGGTAGTCTGAATTTAGAAATAGCATATTTTTCTCATAGTACTTTTTCAATTGTACGTGGCATGTTCACGTGGCAAACCATCCGCTTTATTTGTTCTTACATCTGATAACAAAAAGAAAACTGTCGCATATCACAAGATTCTTCACTGAACAACCCATAAGTAACCCATGCAACAAAGCGTGTATCAAAGGTAATGCCTTGCCCATCTGCCATATAAATACATAATTTTTCTAGTTTTCTTAAATCTTCATTTTCTTAATTTATATTATCCTAATGAACTATTGAACTTAATAATTTATTTGTATTCATTTTATTACGTTTATTAAAATGATAATTTAAGTTTAGTTAAAATGTATCACCAAATTCATTGAGTATTAGGTGGTAGAAAATAATAAAAACCTTAATTATAGATATTATTCAAAATATATAAAAGCTAACACTAGCTGACCTATACAATTTCTCGTTCACTCAACCATTCGTTTCGTTATTTTTGTAGTTAACAATGATGTTCGGGATAATTTGTTGATGAGCTCGCCTTTCGATGAGACAAAATTGCATAAAATTCGGAGGAAATCCATCTTCTCGCTTCGTCGACAGGAACACGGCTATTATTAATAGTCAGCAATTGCTTGGAAAAATCTTGAGATGATGGATCATTCAGCGATGTAACTCCCATGTTTACTGACAGCTGAAGTTACTTCACATAGCGCCACAGATTTGATGATTTGAGGAGAGTGTTTATATCGTTAACAGCAGTCGAACTTGGAATAAGTGGCAGTATTTGTCGGAAATCAAAATAAGATGGTCATTCTTCATCATCAGGTACAAGAATGACTAAAGTGTTAGGTGAACTCATTTTGGTTTTTAGTACATATTTTAGTTCATTCTATTGTTTTTAAGTCCTATAAGTTATGTACTCTTTAATATTATTATCTTACTAACGACCATCCAATACTGCTAAATTCATCATACAGCTATCCAGTTCAACTGTCGACGTTCAATTATTGCAATACCTATATTGTAAAATAAATAACAACTAAGAGATTTGTATTGATAATTTTCAATAAAAATTAAAAATTTAATTCTACATAAAAAAATATTTATTCAATTATTGACAATTCTGATAAAAAATATTTTATTTTATTTTATAATATATCACAATTACCTTAGACAATAATAAAATTTGAATATAGTTTTACCAGAGGCAACTTCAAGTATTTTAATAAGCTGGTTGTTCTTTCAACTTATTTAATACTCCAAAAAAACCCAAAACATTTCCTACTACAATGAACAATATTAATATTATCAGATCCAAATAAAAATCATCACTTGCATAACCATATTTGTTTAAAACGGCTTCCCCGCTGTCTAGACAATTAGAAACATCAGTACAAGCTGCAAAATTAAAAAAAAATTCAATTTAATTGAAAATTGATTGTAACAAATTTGTCATTCTGACTTACGTAGAAATTTTATTTTGGACCAAAATAAAGTAGATATTGTTTCGCAACCAAGGTAGAATAACGAAAAGTATCTTATGATGTATAAAAATTTTGGTAAAGTCCTATAATTAATAAATATTATGTAAATAAAATAAATAAATATGATAACAGAAACCACAATTCACTGACTCTAGTTATTACATTCAAAAATCACAATAGAGTAATTTAAAAATATTCCTAAATTAAGTAGAACGTACAATAATTCTTTAAATGCAATTATTAAAAAGAATCAAAGTTTATGTGCTCAAAAAGTAAAAATAATGTTTATATTAAAAAAAAATAATGTACGAATCAATAACAAGAAATTATTAAAAAGAATCAAAGTTTATGTACTCAAAAAGTAAAAATAATATTTATATTCAAAAAAAATAATGTACAAATTATTAAATATTATATATTTTTAAAAGACCACATTTAAACAATTAGATTTATAACCTTGTTTACTTTTTAATGACCTACAATCGTTTAAAAATTAAATAGATATCGATTAAACGATTAAAATTACGAAAATGGGGTACGTTTTTGTTGTTAAAAATGATACTTATAATAATGATAATTATGGCTTAAAATATGAATGAAAATGTTTATTATTTTATACATCTGTCATTGTATGTCAACCAAACTAAGCTTTTTTTTAAAAAAACAATTTCTGGCAGACAATTTAGAGATTACTTGTTAAAAATGCTATGTCACATAACCCGTATAATTTAGATCGTAATGTACATTGCAAACAGTATAGTACTTTATATTTAAAATATTATTTATTCGCTTAACCTAAAAACGGAAAATTATAATTTCCGATTCCCTAAAATATACATATATATATATATATATATGTCGCGTCCACTTTGTGTAATCTTCGATCATATCGTGCAGGTTGTTTTTAGGTTCATAAAATGGACATTTATTTTATCCATTTCATGAAATGGAAACCCGTATTTTAAACTTGATATAATTTATTTAATTTTTACACTAAATGGATAACTTTTTGTGAAATCGACATTTTATCGAAATATACAGAATATCATTGTCAATGAAATTATACTTAATCTTTCTACAGTTTATACTTAAAAGCTTAATATACCTATATCAATTTAGTACTATATACCCGTATCATCTGTAATAATCACGTTTGTATTAACATTATCAGCTCATAAACACGATACAGCCCAGATTAAGTTCTTCATTGTATGTAGGTAGTGTAATTATTTTTGGATAATGCACTAAAGCTAGTTATGCCACTCTACCAGCTGCACGTTTCCTAGCACAACTATACGAACCTCCGCCGTCCAGTACAATATTTCATATTCATTATTATACAAAATGGATGCATTTTCCGAGTTCTATAAAAAACTAGATGCATACTACATTGAAAAGCCAGAAAAAAAACCATCAACTAAAAATGAAATTGAAATAATAATCAATGAAATTTTAGCAGCTAAAACGAAAATGTAAGTAAAAGTTAAAATAATTGATTATACAATGTGGTTATTGAAAAATTAATTTTAACTATTTTCTAATTTTAATTACAAATGTACGTTTACTTTGTAGTGATAAAAAATCTAGAAGAGAGTATTATCTATTGAAGCAATATGATGTATTATGCGTAGCAGACAAAAAGTATTTAGTTTTTAAAAAAAATGAAGGTGATAATATAAGGTAATTAAAATTTGTATTAATTTGATTTATTTTGATACTTTTATAGACTTCAATACATAAAACCACCCATTTATACTTAAACCCTTTTAGTCTTGAATTTTTTTTTTTTTTTAGTTCAACATTTTTTTTCTTACACACCATATTATCGCATGCGCATTATTAGATACTTACTTATTATTAAAAAAAACCATCCCAATTGCATGTGTTTCACAAGGAAATGTAAACACGAAGTTCTCAAATAATTCTTCTACCACTACATCAAAAACATTTTTATTTCAGTTCTTACCAAATTAATATCTTTGATACGAATTGTTAAAATACATGGCCTCGTACCAGACCAAGGGGATTAAATCAAACATAAAAAAAATTGAATCATGTAATACGAGCAAATTTTACCACGTGTAAATAGACGTGTAAATTAAGTTAGGTACACAATTACGTTACGATTGCCGTCACGAGGCTATTCTAAATGATCTAAATTTGTTGCCCCTCCTCTCTGACACCATGTTTATTTTTTTACTAATTTTAATAATGAATTGATTTTTTACATAGATATGTTTTACCTTACGAAGAATTATATGAACGTATTAACGATTCTCACATAACAACAGGACATGGTGGAAATGTCAAATTACGTGTAGTAATGGGCAATAAATACAAAATTCCAAGATCAGCAATAGAAAAGTTTTTATCAGTATGTTTTATGTGTAATTCCAAGCAAGGAAAAAATCGCAGGCTAGTCATAAAACCAATTATTACCAAAGACTTTAATGAAAGGGTCCAAGTTGATTTAGTAGATTTTTAATCAACATCTGATGGTAAATATAAATGGATCATGAATTATCAGGATTACAGCACAAAGTTTTTACTGTTGCGTCCACTTGAAAGCAAAAAGGCTCTTAAAGTGACAAGTAAATTACTTGATATTTTTCTTACATTTGGTGCCTCTAAAATACTTCAAAGTGATAATGTACGTGAATTTGTAAATTTTGTTATTTATGAATTAAAGGATATGTGGTCACAATGTGTTATATTCCATGGTCGACCTCGTCATCCCCAAACTCAGGGAAGTGTCGAGAAGATTAATCAAGAAATCGAAAATATGATTCGTGCGTGGATGAAAGAGAATCGATCAAAAAAATGGTCCATTGGATTACAGTTCAGTGGCGTATAAAAGGGGGGTGTTTGGTAGATATGACACCCCCCTTGAGTCGTATCATATATTACATCAGCGGTTACCAACCTTTTTAGTAGTGCGGACCACCAATTTCGTAGAAAATGTTTGAGACCCACCAATAGTTATATATGTATAATATGCACATACGTCAGTTATTACAATTTATTTATAAAAAACAATTGTTTATCAAAAAATAGAACTTCATTGAAGTAGATTATTCAAGAGTTAAACAATTTAATGTAATTTTGGATTGTTTCCAATGAGAGAATCAATATTTGGATTAAAAATGAAAAGTTTTAGCCTTAAATCGCTCAAATTCAATTTATTCCTACATTTATTTTTTAAAAAGTAGAAAAAGCTCGTTCACAAAGACACACAGGTTGTCGAAATATAGCCCACCAAATTTCTAAGTAAAATTTTAGAAATTGCACAGAAAGTCTCGCCGAATATTTAAGTATAATGGTAATAATGGTGTAGTTTTAAAAAACGAGTTTAGAGTCTGATCACATTAGAGTTCAATCAACGAATCTTCTTCACTTGCTGATATTTAATATTTTAAAAATATATGTAAGTAATATTAATAAAATATGGTTCACGGCCCAGTACCACCTGCTCGCCCATGGGTTGGGAACCACTGTATTACATTATTATAGGAATATAGGTAAATCGATAATTCAATATCAAATATAAAATAATGCACAATACTAATTACATATATACAGGTTAAAATTATCGTGATTGCGACAATACGTGACGAAAATTATTCGTTTACGTTTTCGTGCAACACAAAACGTTTAATAATAATAGGTATTGTAGCATCGAATACTGATATTCGAATAGTCAAATATTCGAATAATTTATGGTAAAGCTATCCGAATTCGAATATACATTACATCTCTATTACAGACATTATGTATACATATTAATTAATTAAAATAAAAGTTTTAGTTTGTACGTATTATATATAATATTTAATAATTACAATTAACACCCCCCTTCAGAAAATCCTAGCTACGCCACTGTTACAGTTTATACAATTCCAAAAAAATTCCTCTTATCACCGAATTATTTGACGCTCTCCGTATAAAGCTCTTTTTGGTTGTGATCCAAAAATTTTAAACAAAATTGAAATTCAAAATAACAACGAAGAAATTACTTCACATTGTAGTATTTGTAATATAGAAATGCAAATTGAAGTTGATTTTACGGAAGCTATCATTTGCGATCTATGCGAAACCAGTGAAATAATTAGAAAACAACGTGAGCTTGGGCATCAAGGACAAGAAAAATCCGCTGAAAAAATGATGAAGGTACTATTTTATATTTATCATTAAACTTTTTTTTTAAATTTTCAGTAAACTGATAATTTTTATTTTCAGTAAGTTCCTGATTTTAAAATTGGTGATTGTGTTTTGATAAGTGTACCTAAAATAGACCGAGGACCATCAGATTCAGCCAATGTAATTGCTGTAATTATAAATCAAAATAAACATGGGCTTCACCAACTTGGAACTAATTATAGATTAATTAAAGGATGACCTAGTTCTGCAAATGTAAAACTTGCAGCATCAAATTTTTTGAAAACTGATGAAGTTAATTATGATAGAGTCATAACTTTACGTGAAACAGTCGCTTATATTTCAGGGGGACAAGAATTTTCTAGTTGTATTTGTAAAGGCCAATGTCAAACGAATAGATGTACTTGCTTCAAAGCTGCTGTTAAGTGTAATAGTCGTTGTCAAAATACTACTAATTGTAACAATAAATAGTAAAAATTATTTGTATTTGATTATTTTTAAATTGGCTTTGTACCCTATTTGTTTATAGAAAAATTTGTATTTTTAAAATAAAGTATTTCAATAATATAATTATAAAATCATATGATATGAATTTTTTTTTAAAATATAGAAATACAGTTACACAACATTAGATTTTGTCATATTCCCAATTATCAAATTAATAACACATTATATTTCGATGAAATGTGGATTTCACAAAAAGTTATCCATTTAATGTGAAAATTAAATAAATTACATTAAGTGTAAAATACGGGTTTCCATTTCACGAAACGTATAAAATAAATGTCCATTTCATGAACCTAAAAACGACCTACACGATATGATCAAAGTTCATGAAATGGATATCTATTTCGTGAAAATTACGATTACACAAAGTAGATGCGACATATATATTGTTTGACTTACATGACTGACAGATAAGCACCACTAAGAGATAATGCTACAAAATCATATATTGCAGAAAATATTAAACCAATTTCTAATTTGCTGAAACATGCCGATACCATACTACCTACAAAACAATATACAATTATAATACATTCATTTATATAGTATAAATTATTTTTAATAAATTACTAAAATTTTTGCAAAAGGTAATCATAAGTTTTGCACACCCATATAATAAAAATACTATAGTCACAGAATTGATAAATCTAGTAAATCTCTATGTAATTTTTAATCTTAATTTTATTAAAGTAAAAGCCATCCCTTCCAATAATCAATTAAACTAAGCATCAAATAACTGAATAATACCTAAAATATTTAATAATAATAAACATATATGTTTTAGAAGCCTTAAATGTAGTATTATAATTATGTAATAAAATAATTGCATCAATTAATATTTAAAAGACTTTAACCACAACCAATGATTTATAAATTACTTTTAATTACTATTAATATCTGATTTTTTTTTTTTTTTTTTATCCAAAAGTATAAAAAATGTTTTTAATATTTCACAGCGTTTTATTAGTATTCAAGATACTTTATTAAAAACCCGTTACCTATATTTTAGAAATCAATAAATTAATTTATGCTACAATGTTCATATCAATAACAATAATATTGAAAAGTTTAAAATTTATTTTTATTTTTAAATTGGAATAGATATTATTTATTAATAATATTAAAATTTAAATCAAATACCGTATGAAAATGCTGCGAAGGCTAATATGAAAAATACTACAAACTGCATAACACTCCAATGAACACCAACAAGGTAAAATGCAGGTATAAGAAGAAATGAGAGCCGTATCATTATCCAAACAACCTATACAATAAACTCATTTATATTATTATTGCAATTGTGAAATCGACAAGGAAAATGAAACATTGTGGTAACCACTTACCGCAATTATTAATTCGGAAACATAATATACACTCAACGAGTATACTTCATTATGAATTTCTCTGTGAACCACTGAAAATCTTTCTTGGAATTTTGTAACGGCAGAATAAGTGAAAGTGAACACGGTGGTAATAACAAAGTTTAACCAAAAACCTTCCCAGTTTTGTACTGCTTTTGTATCGAATCGCAAGTTTCCAAACGGAGCTGACATTAGAAAACTTAAACACTAAAAACATTTAAAAAAATTATTTTATTTTAATAACATTTTAGTCAAGTATCAAAAACACAATATACACTATATTAGCAATAATACTAACAACTCAATATAATTAGTCCAAACATTAAAAAATTTTATATATATAAATATGCAAGTACAATGTACCATAAGTGGGGTTTCCAGATTTTGAAATCCCTAAACCGGGACATCATATTATATGCCCCCCCTTTTTTTTTTTATATATAGCGTTCATATGAAAACGAAAATAAGTATATAATTTTGTAATTTAAATATTTATCAACTAATACAAAAATACATTATTATTGTAAATAACCATGCCGATTAGATAATCATAGTATAATGAAATAATGCACAATATTATTCTAAGTTTTATTATTAAATAATATATGTAATTATATTTATTATTGTATACAATATTAAATGTTTTTTTCTTTCGGCTTCTGTTAATCAGGACAAATTGAATAATCGGCCGGGACACTGGGATAAGCCTTTAAAACCAGTACTATCCCCTTCAAATCGGGACGAATGGCAAGCCTAACTATAAACAAAGGCGTTGAGTATAACTTGACAGCAGGGAATTATAGGTGTAAAATTATTCATCGAATTACTAATACATATTATAACAAAATTTTTTATATAAACAATTTTTAAAACAATGTTATTAAAAATTAATTTATATTTAGTATTTTGAACAGAATGAGGAAAAATATTGGTAGGTATGTTTAACTATAACAAGGAACTAAATGAATGGTTTAAAATTAATTCATGTAGTCCATATATAAAATTTGAGACTTATGATATTTAAATACTTAGTACATTTTTGGAATTTCCTAACACTTTTCGAGAAAAATTGCAAATATAATATTATTTTATATTCATTAAAAGTGTTTGAAAAGTTATTATGAATTTGCTTATCTTCATAAAATAATTTCTAATATTTCATAAATAAAAATAACAATGTATACACTTATTTTCTAATGTAATAGGCAATACAGTAGTTTTGAATTAATATAAATTACTAATTATTATTACCAATGTAGATGCCAATTCCAGTAGTTTATTTTGGTAACTTCTTACGAAACATTTACTAGATCTGCCCAAAATCAATCTAAACTGAGTATTCCATGTTGGCTTTTTTCTTTAAAACAAATTAAAAATTTTTATTTTCTTTCAAATAAAATTGATTAGGTGGTATAAATGTATTTTAAAATAAAATGTAAAAAATGAATAAATATATTACTAATGTTTGTGAATACTGCAAATAATCCAATTTTTTCTATAAATATTAAAATAGGTATGTTATTAATACTATAACCGACTCATTTATAAATGTTTTATTTTTTACTTGATTATTAAAAATTTCGTAGTTGAGATCTGTTTGTAAGTCAGATGAGGATAACTTACACATTTCGTTTACGTTATCTTTCACCTTTTCATTTTCGGAATTCAGAATAGATATTATAAAATCAGCTTCGTTGAACATATTCGGGCAATCATAACTAAACCTATGTATATAATTTAAAATGTTTAAAAAATGTTCTTTTGAAACGTAGCCTAAACAATATACAATACATTTTAGAATTTTGATTTACTTATGAAATAACTGATGGACCATAGAAACGGGACCCTGATACACCACTTTTCCGCTTGATAACAATAATACGTCATCGAATTTTCCGAAAACACCAGACGCCGGTTGATGAATCGTGCATATCACGATTTTACCCATACGTGCGACACATCTCAAAGTATTTACTATGTGAGCAGCCGAGTAACTGTCCAGACCAGTTGTTATTTCATCACAGAACAGTATTGGTGGGTCGTTTAGTAATTGAACGGCAAGTGCAACTTTCTTCCTTTCTCCGCCGGACAGTACTGATATTCTTGTGTGCAACAGTTTACTCATACCTAACGTAGAGACTATATAATTCACATGTTCGTTTACAGCTGCTTTAGTCGTATTCCGATCCATTTTCAAATTGGCCTTAACTCACAATGCACAAATTATGTCATAATTATTTCTTGAGATACGTAAAAAAAAAATATATATATAAATATATTATTACCATCAGAACCAAGTGTTCTAAAGCTGTTAACTGTTCGAAGCTAATGTCGTGTTGTGGTACGAATCCGGACATTTTGATCATCATTTCTTCGGTTACGGGTTGTCCATTAAGTAACAATTCACCTTCGAAATTCCCTAAATTATCGTTGAAAATTAACTATTATTCAAAAATCGGTTTTGTGAATAATTATATTATTATATAATAATACGTTACCTTTGGTTCGGTGACTTATGGTAGCCAGTAATGTTGTTTTTCCTGAACCACTAAATTAATATAAACGTTAACACATCAAATTAATACTTAAATGAATGATATAAAAAAATTACAAAAAGATACCTAGGTCCCATTATTCCTAGAAGGTTTCCACATTGTACGTTTCCACTGACTGTAAACATCACATACCAAATATTTTATTAATGAGATGAGTACTTTTAGATTTTAGTACATATCCTCATTCCAATCTTGGGCCAACGTGATTTCCAATAAATTTATATATCCTCAATAAATATTAATTCATTTTTTTTTTTGATTTCTTGTATTAAATTTATTTTATAAAAGGTGTTTATATGAAAAATGTAATACAAATTTCTTATATTATATCTTCTCAATCTTCGACGAGTAACTTACAAATATTGTAGTTTCTATCAAATTACAAAATATTAATTTATGAATATTCATTTAATGAAAATGTCGCATATGATAATCAAGTAGTTATTATGGTTATTGTAATATTTTAACATAAATTAGATAAACTTCAAAAATCAAAAAACTATTTTAGGGATAATGATAGTCACCCATCATTGGCAATAGTAAGACACTGTTGGAATTACATACATATGTAAAATGAACGAACCTATCAACATTATTAGAAACAGATTAAAATTATGAAATTTAAACTATGTAATTACGATACTTAACCGTATTATACATAATCATATTCACGCTTTGCTTTTTTTTTTAAACTTACTTCATCAAATAAATATGCTGATGTTGTTAAATTAAATTTCATAATTACCGTTGTTCAATATCTGTTGGTAGGATGTCTTCGAGGGCTTAAAAAAGTTTTGCGTGACTCGTTTCACCGACACATTTAGTCTTTTCCAAGACAACACCAGTCGACCGTGCACGTATTGCATCGGTTTCTGATCCTCAGCCAAACCGTCCCAGTCGTTCCACATTTCATTGTACTGCAAGTTTAAAACCGTGTTCTGCAAAACGGATACAAATGTAATGACAATATAAATGTCGTTCAAATTACATATATGTATATATCTTTAAAGTCGTTGTGAAAATACTCACTTTCGGTGACATAGCGGTTATTATTATTCTGTAACATATACAAACTGATCGAACCGTCACTCGACGACTGAACGTGTATTAACTAAACATCACATAACCGGCATGCGAGAATATGCGTTGTGGTGGAACTGGTTTCAAGGTTTCAGATAAACTCAGTCTGAAACGTGTTTTAAAATAATTATAATGGGTGCATCCGAATTGGGTACCTACCGAATTTAAAATTACTACACTAATATGGTCCAGAATTATTTTAGGTACTATACTAGTTGGGTTCTGAACTATTTTAGGTTTATACTAGTTCCTGAATATTTTTTGATAAGTACTACATTATACTAACATTTTCCTTCCCATTATAACAGACTTAGTAAGTCTTGTAGGAGGTGGCAAACCATATACTTTTAAGTTATTTCCGTTTAGTTTCATCATAGGCATTCAATAAATACTACAGATTTATTATTAAGTTCATTTTCTGTCATATTATTTTTTAGGTTTTGTCTATAGTATTGTTGCCGAATATCGTCTAAAAATCGACCTTACATACATTTTTAAATAATTTTCTTATAAAACGAATAAATATAAATATACGAGTAAATAAACTACTTGTAGTAGTTATCTTTATACATAATATGAGACAACCGAAAAATTGAGCATCATTGTATAGTCCCATCAATTCATTAACAATTGCAGACAAACTTTTTGAAAAATTAAATCTCTTTAGATTTCGACTCATCTAACATCTTAAGTCGCGTTCACACTAGAGCACGCACAGGCCGAGCATGTGTGCTCATGCTATGTGTCGTGTGCAAGCCCGAATTATCACTATCGTAGGCTCCAGGCATTTATTTCATTAGCATTTCATTGACAGACATTTCAGATTCTCGGTAGCTCTTAATATTAAAAACAAATGCCGATTCCATATCGGTTTTATAGACGAATTAAATTATTTGCCTTTATTTTATTTCTTCATCTTTTAAACTCTCATCAGTTAAATAATATAATCTTGCATCCAGTGACGGACTGGGAGAAAAAAACAGCCTGGAAAAATCATAATTCTAGAGGCCCTCAGTATACTAACGGTCTTATATATAATATATATATATATATATTTAGGTTTTAAATTTTTGAATATTTAAATTAATTGGTATAATACAAAATAAAATAACTAGTCAATTTGTATATACTTTAGTAATTGTTACGTATAAAATCAATTTTAATCAATTACTTTAATAAGAAAGTTTATTATTTAATAAATCACTTTTAGTTACAATATTAACATAGTTACAATTTAACATATTAATAACATCATCATTGTCAATACTAAATAGAACATTTTTTCGACTGCCATCATCATAAATGCGTCCAATTTTTCTTCATTCATTGAATTTCTCAGACGAGTTTTAATTATTTTTAATAAATAAAATGATCTCTCGCATGCTACCTATATTAATAATTTTTATAAAAATTCAATTAGATCTTTAAAATAAAATACATAAAAATATTTGGAAACATTTCAACTGCATACTTACTTGTGTACACGGCAATGTCAATAAGTATTGATAAGCCATGGTTAAGCAATGATATGCATCACTATATAAATTGTATTTTATCAGAACATTGTAGCAGCATACCACACAATTATTGCAGGATTTACATTCTAATTTAACAGTGTTATTTTCCTCATTATTTTCTTCATTTTCACTTTCACTTTCATTTAATTGCATTTCAAATGATTCTGGTAATAATTTTTTTTAATCCATTCAAGTTTTTAATAAAGCTATGAAATTCCGCCCTTTTTTGATCATAACTTATATCAGAATCAAATTTACATAAGACTTCATACAATTTTTTTAAAGCATTCGGTGGTATGTTTTGTTTTTGCAAATCTTCAAAATTGTTGGGTGATAAAAAATTTAGATCTTAGTACAAAGACTTATTAGTTGAAAAATTATTTTCTATACTAGATATAGTTTGATCTAAAATTATATTAAAAACTTCAACACTATATCTTTTTTCAGGGTGTAATATTGGTTCATCTTTATTGTTTTCATCAAATAATTTTTTGCAAAGGCCACATCTTATTTTTGAAAAATCTTTTTCAATTAATACATCCACATCATGTTTTTCATCAAATTGTTCATTTATATAATTTATAAAATTTTCGGCTTTTAATTTTATATCTCCAAAATATCTTTGAATTTGTTTTAACTGTGTTAATACACAATTTACTAACTCCTGGGCTTTTATCAAATTCATACCCTTGGTCTGAAGATATTTAGATAATGGACCCAAAATTTTGAATATATTTAAAAAAATAAATGCTGTCAAAATAGTTTAGTATTGTAAAAGTGATTCTTTAAAATTTCTGGCCTTCACTTTGATATCAGAATTAAAGGATGGTACCTAAAAAAAACCTGATTATTATAAATTTATTATTATTTACATTATTATTATTACTATTATTATCATGAGTATTGAATTATACAGTCCACTTAAAGCTTAATATTATTTTTTCTATTTATTTTTATTCACACAGCATAATATACTATTTTTTCATACAGCTGTTTAGACACCCTTATTTATTTTTATTATAAGAGCTGACAGCAGCGGCACATACCAATCCAATTATTATTACTGGTTAATTAAAAAAATTTATATGAAAAATCGAATATTTCCTGTTATACTAGGCCACACTTTTTCATCCTGCCACCATAACTATTCTTATTATTACAAAATTATACATAATAATTGTACGTAAACTGTTACGTGTTAAATAATGTTTATATATATATATATATATATATATGGTGGGGGATTGTCCTACCATACGCGACGTGTGTGCCTCGCACGACATTCAGTTTACTTACGCCTTATACACAATAAACACGTTATTACTATTCATAATTATAAACTTTAATTATACTAATTAACGTTTGATCATTGCATTTATATTAATGCAACGACACAACATAAACGAACACGTTACGTTTTAATGTGTTTTTAGGCTTTTTCAGGCATTTTTTAAATTTTTCTCTCCGTAACAACCATCCTCGTAGGTACTTCAAGGAATATTATAAAAAAAGAATTAGCGAAATCGGTTCAGCTGCCCTCGAGATATGCGCTTAACTTGGATTTGGTAAATTGAGTCCCCCCGCCTAAAAAAAAAAAAAAAAAAGGTAAATTGAGTCCTTCGTATAAAAATGAAATCGGTAAGAGTTGAGTCCCTTGTATAAAAATTAAGGCGGTAATTTGAAATATGGTGAAATGCTGTTTTTTTTTATTTACCACACTTTTAATTATATTAACACAATTATATACTACATCAGTGGCGTAGCCAGGATTTTTAAATGGGGGGACTAACTACTTTTTTGGATAAGTAAGGTAAGAGAGGATATGAGAATTCAGCCTTAATCCCCCCCTCACCATCTACCACCAAGTTTCTAAACGTAATTCAAGCATTTTAGTATAGTTTTAAAAATATTTATTAATATATAATTTATAATAATAATAATAATAATTTTGGTTTCAGTGTTCAGTCACTTGCTCCACTCTGACAGCTGTATCCTCTTAGGCGAATTCCTGGCAAATTCAGTTATTATTTCACTTTCATCGAATTGTTTTTTTTTATTTATATTAGCCATAGCTAACCCATTTAGTCTGTTTTCCGACATGGTGCTTCTTAAAAAAATATTTAGGGGATTAAATGCTGAAAACGTTCTTTCCGGAGTGAAAGAGGTAACTGGTAACGTGGCGAATAATTGTAAAAGTATTTTAATGTTAGCTCGAAGATTGGTGTGATGAGAGAGTGAATCAAGAACAGAATTCGGTTTTGGAATAGTATTTTGACTCCATTGTTGCCTCCATATGAACAGGTCAGCTCTGATTGTAGATGAGGTATCATCATGGAGATCTTGGACAGGACATTTTAGCAGTTTTTATAATATTTTTATCGTCATATATGTTTAAATTGGCCGGAATAAGTCCTTCAAGTGGCATAACATCAATAAGCCTTTGATTAAAACGAGCATCCATTGATTCTATTAAATAGTCAAGATACATTATACATATAAACACGGCCCATGGGGAGGATATAGCCCCCTTAGCCCCCCCCTTGGCTACGCCACTGTACTACATACATTAAACTAACATTTATCAGTTATCACATATCACATCCAGTGTTTTTGTAGATAGTTAGGTATTTATATAAATGTTGCGAAATATAATAATACGGAGCGAAATATAATAATATTTAACGATGTAATGAAACTATATCAACAATGATATTTATAATTTAAATACATTTAAATAAATTGAACACATTAAATATTTTAGACGGGACTCAATTCGCCGCTTTAACTGTTATACAAGGGAATCAGTTTACCTCTTTAAAATTTATACGTGGGACTCTACCTATTTCGAAAAAAGATAAATTTGTTTGGGACTCAATTTACATAAGCCCGTCTAGCAAGATATTCAGCGATTCATTTTTATATTATAGATATATGTAAGCTCCAAAAAAATTACAATTGTGATTTAACTTATTTTTAGTTGTATTTAGTAAGAATAAATATAATATTATAATTGTAGTATCGAAAAATGTAATAAGGTGCTAATAGAGAGAAGAATGACAAAAGATTGGTGAAATAATTTTATTGTAGATACCAATATTTACTTACAAAAAAAGTATTCCGAATAATTTTAAAATACTTCTAGTTTTCATACTATAAAAATAATAGATGTCCACTCAACAAAAATATTTGAAATTGTAGACTAAATATATGTTATTTTATTGTATTTTTATATTACATTACTATTATAGTTTATGGTTTACAATAATAATAAATACCTGATATTAGCTTATACAAGATACGATGGAGAAGTAATAAAATCATTTAAAAAAGAAATGATTTGACGGTATTCGAAATACAGTATTCAGAATACTCGTTATAAGTACCTATTCAAAATACTTTATTGAATACTTTTTTCGAAAGCCCTTGAAGGAAAGGGATTAAGAATTAATAGAAATAAAACAGAGTATATAATGTATGACTTTGGAGGAATATACCAAGAATTTGTGGGTATGAGGAGACCTTTGACAATAAGTGGTGATGTG